CTTTGGAAAGGCTCCCACCCCCTTGCTGCTGCTGGGGGTTCTGGGATGCAGGCAGGTGATGTCCTGAGCAGTGGGCTCTCACCCCCCTTTCGAACTGGGAATTCTTGACTAGGAGGTATCAGCCTGCTGGTTAGGGGAAATTATGTGGTGTGCATTTCCCTTTCAGAGTCACTTTGCAGTCTATGTGCATGTTTAAGCTCTCGGTGAACAGTGTCAAGTTATTTTTTTAAATAGTCTCTTTGTTGGGCCAGGGCACTGATTTCAGCTCGAGAACTTTGCAGGTGGCCTTTGCAGGCCTTGGCCCTAGCATCTCTCTCTTTGAGTTCAGTCTGTGCTCTCATCAGGAGAGCCTCTGCTTGCTGGTGTCTAGAGCAAGTTCTGAACTCTGATTAGCGACAGGATAGATTGTGGGTGTTTTTCCTGTCTTTTCAGAAGAAGTCCTTTGTTTGGCATAGGACGTTATGGGCCAAATCTCACAGCTGTTTGGTGGACATCGTCCGTGGGCAAGCCAGAACCCCCAAGTGGAGCCTCCTCAGCCTGGAGCTTCAGCGCTGCTGCTTCCTGTTCCATGCGGGAGATGCTTGCTTCACCCAGCTTTACCTGAGCGAGGAGGTTGTGGGCTTGTGACCCGATGATCTTGGTGAGATCTTTGTGGCTGTAGTCCTGTGTAGGATAGTGTGACATCAGGTCGCTCAGGTTGTTGTCGAGCTGTTCCCGGCTCAGGTGTTGCAGGTCACCGGCGGCTTCAGACAGGAGACAGTAATCAGTCCTTGCTCTGACTCTGGGTCAGAGAACTCCTTAATAAAAACCTGCTGCAGTTGCTGGTAATCCACTTTGACTGTTTCTGGCTAAGAGAGAGAGAGAGAGAGAGACAGCACAAAAGGCCAATGCAAGTCCTTACAGCGTTAACAGGCTGCAATTATAGTACTTATACTATACTCCCATGTGGGGAGTATAGTATACTTATATGTTCTATGTTCAGTTAGCGGAGTGTAGACCAGACACCTGTTATCTCGGCCGTGAATGGCAAGGTGTGTCTGATTGTTGTGGGGGCACAGGAAAGGATCTAACTAAAGATTGTTGACAGCGTGATTGTCTAAAGACTTTGGCAGCTTGGGTCGTCAATCTATTACTCAGCCTTCCCTGATGATTCTCAAAGGTTCGGTCT